GCAATCAGCCTGCTTGGGCCTCCCAAAGTGCTAGGATTATGGGCATGAGCCACCACATCCAGCTATTATCCTTTTCATGTCCACAGGATCAGTAGTGATGCCCCCTTTTTCATCTGTGATATTAGTAATTTGTGTACTCTTTTCTCCTTAGTTTAGACTGGTTATAGGCTTATCAATTTTATCAATCTTTTCAAAGAGCCAGATTTTGATTTCACTTATTTTCTCTACTATATTCCTGTTTTCAGTTTCATTAATTTGTGCTGTGATCTTTATTATTTGTTTTCTTCTGGTTAACTTGAATTCAGTTTGCTCTTCTTTTTCTAGTTTGCTTAGGTGGAAGCTTATGTGACTGATATTTATCTATTCTTTATTTAGAGTTAGAGTCTTACTCTGTCACCCAGGCTAGAGTATAGTAGCATGCTCATGGCCACTGCAGTCTTGACCTTCTGGGCTCAGGTGATCCTTCCACCTCAGCCTTCCAAGTGCTAGAACTACAGGGGCATGCCACCATGCCTGGCTAATATTTTGATTTCTTGTAGAGACAAGGTCTTGTCAAGTTGTCATACTGGTCTCGAAACCCTGGGCTTAGGCAATCTTCTTGTCTCCTCTCAAAGTGCTGGGATTACAGGCATGAGTCACCGTGCCTGGCTGTGACTGATTTTTAGATCTTTTGCTTTATACTATACATTTTATAAGGTGTCTTTTCATTTAGCTCAGAGTACTTTTTAAATTCTCTTGAAATTTCTTCTTGGCAGTGTTATTTAGAAATATGTTGGTAAATCTCCAAATATCTTGAGATTTTCCAGTTTTCTGTTGACTTCAAGTTTAATTCCACTGGAGTTTGAGAGCAGACACTGCAAGACTTCTGTTCTTCTAAACTTAAGATATGCTTTATGTGATCTATCTGAAACCACTATTTTTAGTTTGTGTATCCAGATTTTCCTATGCATTTCACTCATATGTATACGCAGAAATATATAGTTTTATTTTAAAAGTCTTTTATATTTTTCTTCCCTACACAAGGTTATACTATGTGTTATGTCCTGCAACTTGCTTTTTACTTACTATGTCCAGGAAATCTTTTCAAGTGAGAGCTACCATATTCTTTTTAATATGTCCACAGTACTTCATAGTAGGAATGGATCATTAATTAACTACCTTCCCATAAGTAAGCATGTAAGATCATTTTCTATTACTACTATAGACAATTGTGAAATAAATATTTTTGCAAATACATTCATTGTGTTCATGTCCAAGTATTTCTTTAAGATAGAGTACTAAAAGTTTAATAGTTTGGTCAAAATAAGCACTTGCAATTTTGATAGTAACATAATGCTACTAAAAAAATTTTTACCAATTTTTATTCCCAACAAGATCCAATAGTAATCCCATACCTTCATTTACACTGTGGATTACAAATCTTTTAAAGTATGTTTGCATCTACTGATATAAAAACAAACTCACTTCAATTTGCAATTTCTTTCTTTCTTTCTTTTTTTTTTTGAGATGGAGTCTCACTCTGTCACCCTCACTCTGTCACCCAGACTGGAGTGCAGTGGCCGCTCGACCTGCTGGGCTCTGGCAATCCTTCTGCCTCAGCCTTCCAAGTAGCCGGAATTACAGGCATGTGTTACCACGCCCGGTTGATTTTTTGATTTATTGTAGAGATGAGGTCTCGCTGCCCAGGCGGGTCTCGAACCCGCGGGCTCAGGCAATCCGCTCACCTCGGCCTCCCAAAGGCGCGGGATTACAGGCTGAGCCACCGAGCCCGGCTGCAATTTCTCTTATTATTGGTATGTTGGGTATCTTTCACACTTGCATTATCTGTTAATATTCTTACCCATTTTTTTCACTGAGTTGAGTTTCACTTATTCACCTGTAGAAGCTCTTTATATATATGCCCTGGACATTAATTTTTTACTATTAAAAAAATAATCTTGCCATTCCACTTTAAATATTTTCCTCTAACTTATGTGTTGTAGTTTAATGTAACAGGGGAGGGAGGATCTTTTACTGTATGTAATTTGTTACTTTTCATTTGTCTAAGCTATTAAGACACAACCAAATGAGACATAAGAATTATGACACAGGTCATAATGTAATGCACTTTTTTGGGTAGTTTTTTCTCTGATAGACAATTGTTTTAGCAACACTTTTGAATACATATTTTTGTCACAGTGATCCAAATGCCACCTTTATCATTAGTTTAATTCCCATACTGTGTGGCCTGACTTCTAGATTTGCTATCCCACTCCTTTGATCTATTTTTCTATTGTCTTTCAGACACTGTCACATCAGATTTTAGACAGAGCTTTTAGAGGTGAGAGAACTAGAGAGGGGAATCTGTAAACCAAGTTTTATATAGGAATACAGTATTAATTGGGCAGATTGTCTGTCTATTTACAAATATGTCCCACTATGTTCTTGGGTGATTTACCAGTTTATTACCGGTTCCTTATCTAGTCTCCTTACCTTAACATTATCTTCCCCTCATGAAATACACAAATACTCTTAAAACTAGGCCTTTCATAATTCAAATTAAAATTCAGAATTCATTGTAGCTCTTAATTTTAGGCCTCAAAACTCATCTGCTTTTGAAAATAACTGTGAAAAGTATAATAAAGTAACTCATATACTTAAATATAAATGAACACTACATTTAAATGTATAGTAAGAAGCATAGTTCCCAGTGCTTGAAGATGTGATTACTTATCAGCAAAGAATATGTGTATTATGCTCTACTTCAGATAGCACACACTTATAATCTCTTCTTTCTCCTGAAGTTTTTCAGTTCTGAACCAACTACAGATAAATCTTTCTACTGTCAAACCAGTACGTCAACTGACTACAGAATTAAAGGAACAAAATTTCTATAATTCACATTATACTTATAATGATATCACTTGACTAATGTGGCAGGGATCATGTTGGGCATTTTTTTATTTTCAGAGTGATATGTGCACATGATTTAGAAATTAGGATAGAAGTTAAGGGTTTATATCATAGGTAAAGTCATCTACCCTGTACCTCCCACCACACTCAAAATTATTTCTATTTCTTATTGTTTTCTAGGTTATTTCCCAGAATCTCAATTAATAAACTCACATCATTGCTTCTTATCAATTTTCAGACATCTACTGACACTTACTATGAAAGGCAAACGTTAGTTCACTTATACTCTTCTTTCCTTCTCTTTTGCCATATCTCCTTCAATTTCTACTAGTTCATTTAATTTCCCTAGTTACTTGCTTTTGTCTTTTACTCCTCAATCTATCAACTGAAAAAAAACAATCTGTAGGCATTCCACTTTTGAATATTCTTCACTGGCAACTTTCTTTTATCCACGTCCTCTCTCAACATTCAGAAACATCTCTATCTTCACTTTTTGCCTTGAATAAAGTATTCTGTGTTTGATCATAAGTTTTGTGCCATTTGAAGGAGAATGTTCTTTGTGTCCAAGTCAAATAAATCATTTTTAAAAAATTCCATAATTATATTATTGCTCAAATCATGGCCTGTTTGTGTTTGCTTCCAAACTGAAATTTCTAGTATAATTTTAAAGTTTTTCTCGAATCTTTGACTTTTCTTTCTTGCTGGGAGAATAATTCTATGGCTTTCTATCCATGTCTTTCATATGCTACAGTTTCTTCTTCTATATATTGCATGAAATTCATTTGATTTTTCTTAAAGGAGGAGAACTCTCTGACTTCCTATTCGAATTTCAGAGGAGGTGCTTTCCAAGCATATGAAAAAGCTGTCACAAAATGTCTCCTCTTTAGACTAGGGTTAATTTCACTATTTCTTATATCTCATATTTCTTTTTCTTGACTTTCACCTTTATCTTGATGACTATACCCTGAAGTTCCTTAAGAATGTCATGTGATAGGCAAAATTTGAGAGTTCTTAAATATTTTAAAATATTTATTTTGCCCTCATACTGGGCTAAAAGTTTGATTGGTTAAAGAATTCCAGGGTTCTGGTTCTAGACTGTAGACTAAACATATAAAATCAACTATTCTTCCTCTTGTAACCATATTAAAATGATACAGTGATACAAAAGAAAATAAATCCATACAATTGAATAGGAAAAGCAGAGAAGAAAAAGTTAAAAAACAAAGAGATATCCGATAAGAGATTACAATAACGTCTCCCTAGAATTATGGAGCAAAATGCCTGAAGAGTACTAGGACTGTAAGTTCAGTATCCACCCTGTCCCATACTAAAAAGGCTCTTCTCATTCCATGACTGAGAGGCAGGTGGGCTTAATGGCCAGTTCTTGCTTGTACAGGGAGAACTGAAAATTAAAGTAGAAAAATACACCTGCAGACATATTATCAAAGGAAACCCAATAACAACTATTAAAAATAATCAAGATCATCACTCTAAACATAAAAGGACTAAATCTCATTTGACATATGAAGAAAACAAACTTTGAATGAAAAAGACCAAAATAAATAGCACACTTGACTTGGAATAAAAAAACAGAGAACTCAGAAAGTAGCAAAATTACAATTAACAAATCAATCACTTAGCCTATGAACCAAACAACCAAAATAATTAACTTCAATGATTTTTCTTTTTAATAAGTCAGTTCCTTTCTTTTTAGATAATCTAATAATTTAGTGTATTTAAGAAAAAACATAATCTTGAACTAAACTAACATAATCTAGCATAAGCTCCCATGTCAGCTTTGGCTGCATGTTTGTGCCAATATATCCAGTAACACATGAAAAAAATAGGTACTGTAACAAAAGGAAACATCAATGGATGCTGGTATTTTTGATTAACATCAAACAATTTGAGTTCATTTCAGAATCTAGTGACAATAGGTATTCAAGGAAATCCATTTCAAATTATCTAGAAAGTCAAATTTAAGTATATATTAATAAGTATATATTAAATGTTCTTACATTTAAGTATATGACACTCTCAAGATAAAATTACAAAATAACATTCCCCAAACAGGAGACACAATATATCTCAAGAAAGAGCTGACTTACCCTGGGAAATTGTACTGAAAAGTGCAGGATCGATGGCAGGAATAGTCTGTGGAGTAGGTTGGATAGTGTTACTTGCTACACCTACAGATCAGAAAGCACAAGTGGGTATAAAGTTTTATAACTTTTAAATATATACTAGGAAAGCACGTAAAAGATCATGGGGAAATTTCACTACTTCATTTAATTGTTTTCTCGAACCATTAATGCTGAGATCCCCAACCTCCGGGACACAGACTGGTACTGTGGCCTGTCAGGAAACAGACCACACAGCAGGAGGTGAGCCATGAGTGAGTGAAGGTCTGTCTCCTGTCAGATCAGTGGTGGCATAGATTCTTGTGGAAGCATGAATCTTATTGTGAACTGTGTATGCGAGGATCCAGGTTGCATAATCCTTATCAGAATCTAATGCCTTATGACGCTCCCCACCCTACCGGGGCTGTAGAAAAAATATCTTCCCCAAACCAGTCCCTGATGCCAAAAAGGTTGGGGACAGCTGCATTAATGGGATCTAATTGGATATAATTATTTGATGTTGGAAGCTGATAGAGAAAATACATTATGAGTGTTTACATACAAGTATTGGCTATATATTTCCTAATATGTATTTTGTCTTATGTTTCAATTTATTTCTCACTTAAAGCTTATTAGTTATCTGTAGAAGTAACAAACTCTCTTCAGAATTTCAATTTCTTAGTCAATTAAATAACTGGGGGACAAGGTAGAACATAATTATGATTTAGTTTAACTTAAGGGATGAGTCCTATTTAACACTGTGCATGAACTTACAAACTACACATTTCTAATTTCCAGTGTATAAATTTTTAAGTTGATATTTTCAGATACCTTATAAGCAATTCATTCGTTTAAGCTTGTTAGAACTTGCCAAAACTGTCAAATTCAATGAATGTTGATTAATGGTAAAAAAAATATTAAAGCTGAAGATTATTAATCATTTAAAAATTAACAAAAGGTATTGAAAGTACCCCCCCCAAAAAACTTAAATAATTCAATCACTAGGGAAAGGAAATGAAGAAAAGTTGATTATTCCAAATCAATGGAGTTAAATAGTTTCACAAAACAGGGAGTTGGCCTTGAGAGAATAAGTTACATTCGAATAGGAAATTTGTAGTAAGGATAAAGTGGGAAAAAAACTGGGATAAGAAAAAAGGAACAGGAAAGAGTAAAAATAAAATGGAAAGTTTTGAGGGGCACAAACACATATCCAATAAGAGTTCTAGAATAATGGCTTCACAAAAGATGACCGAAGTTCTAAAATATAGTCTTTCTGATATGAAGATTTGACTTTGAAGAACTTTCTCATCCCTAACCTAAGGGAAAATATGGTTTAAATATATGCGGTTTTACCTTATTTAATATCGTGTTAGGGTAAACTAGTTTATTTTTGCAGCCTTTGGAACCATAAAAGTTATGAAAATCTTACTTTAAAACTAAAAATTGAATATAATTTTTTCAAAGTACATGGGGATAAAGAGAAAATGTCAAGTACAAGTTTTAAATAGTACAAAAAATATTAAGGTGGAAGCCTGCCTCTCATTTCTAATCTAAGCATGTTGGAGCTACTAACAGTTTTATTAACCTATTTGCTCACAAGCAGGTGTATGTGCAATCCAATTTATATATGTATACATGTGTATGTATATGTGTGTGTGTATACCAGTGCTGTTCTTTGCTATGAAATTAGTGTTCTTGTCTAAATTAAAATCCCCTAGAATGTATACTTTGTAGGTATGTTTTGCAAATGGTAGTTAAGTTCTGTATACTATTCTATACCGTGCATTTTTCATTTGATGTGTTTTAGCAATAATTCCAGATTAATATATATAAATCTTCCTTGTTCCTTTTAAATGACTACATGGGTCCTACTCTATAAATGTAGCACAGTTTATAAAACATTCCATTTCTGATAGATAATTAGATTGTTTTCTATCTTTTGCCACTACAGATAATGCTATAGTAAATATTCTTATATAACGTATGAATATATTTATAAAAAATTTATAGAAGTATAACTGCAAGTCAAGAGACATACAAGTTTTAGATCGACCAATTGCATGACTATTTTTGGTTTTGACAAGTGCTCACAAACTAAACAATAGACATAAGTTTCTCCACCAAACTTGACAAACACTTAAAGGCACATAAGTACAGAATATTTTTTTTAAATGTTAGAATGGCCGGGCTTGGTGGCTCAGCCTGTAATCCCACGCCTTTGGGAGGCTGAGGTGAGTG